AGAGAGAGAGAGAGAGAGAGAGAGAGAGAGAGAGAGAGAGAGAGAGAGAGAGAGAGGAAAAAGCGAAATCAGGAAATAACACGTCCGCAGAAGAAGCATTTGAAGCACGAATTTCCAAGTCAATCGCTATCGGAGTAACAGGATGTCCCAGAAATTTAAATATGCCCTTTTCCTTTTCTTTTATCCGGGAAAGATACGAAAGAGAAAGAAGCGATCGATTTTATGTTAATTTTAACGTAAATTTCGCCCGCAAAAGCAATCATCCTTGGGACGACACGATAATAGATTCGCAAATAACAGCGACATTTTTATGTATCCGTTGCAGTGATTTATTATGTGATTCCGCTTCGAAGACATTATATTCTCGTAATTCACGTTCGCCTTAGTACGCTCGGGCGCCAACTTGGATGCTAATCTCCGATTAATTGCGGGCGAGTGCCTGCGGCAATCGCGCGAATCATTTCGTAACGTAACTAATATAAGCCGTTAAGCCTCGTGACATTTAAAGACGGCTTACGGAATTCGAAGTAATTATCGTTCTCTCTCTCTTATCGGTCTTCATGGTCATTCCCGGCGTTGTATGTTTCAGGTCTCCGTAAGGTATATCCTTATTACTTTACCTTCACGACATTCACGAAAGGTCGATGGGTCGGCGAGAAGATCCTGGAAGTCTTCGCAAGGGAATTCCGTGCCCATCCAGCCGAGGAATACGAGAGATGTATTCGCGCTGGCACCCTGACAGTCAACTATCAAAAGGTGGACATCGATTACAGGTTACGGCACAACGATCTTCTGGCTAACGTTGTCCACAGGTATGTGAACATTCCGTTGAAAGGAATCGACCATATCGCTTTTTCTTGCGTCGTATAATTTTTGCGAGCGTTTGTCACCGTCGTCGACGTTGTCGTTGTCGTCGCCATCGCCAACACGATAGTCTGTTCCTCGCGATTTCTCGTGGCAAATGTCAAATAACTATTGTTGAGAAAAGCATCGTCGATTCTCGAAAGTTTGATTGAATCGCGAAAATTGACAACGGCACGCCGAGCTGCGAATTAAAGGAAAAATTTACGTTAGAAACTTTGCGTTCTTTCACGGAAAGAATGGATTTGCTAAAGTATTTAAAAGTATTAAAAAATTTAGCTAGATGTAGATCTGAAAGTAATCCTAGAATGCTACATCTGTGTAAATTTTACATACAAATGAGCGAGAGCATTGAACATTAAACTACATGGAAAGGAACGATTTGCTAGAGAAAGAACTGAAGTCTTTAAAAATTTAGATGCGATTCACTTCGTTGCAAATGCTTCGTTGATCAAGCAGGAGAAAGACTTTTACGAATTGACCAATCAAATAATGCTTCAAAATATTTGCAGTATTAATTGAATCACACCATTAGCTAGATTTGAAAATAATTTTGTTGTATCATCAAAATAATTACGTAGGACTTTCAAGCATGATGAATGATGCTGTTCTGAAAAAGTTTTAATATTCTACCAATCTTCTTCATATTAGCATCCTTCATATTATTTTGATCAGCAAATCAGAAAAAGTTAATTACTTAATTATGGAATTTTAGAATAAGAAATTTGTAACAACTATGATGTGAAACATAGAAAAACTTGTTACATTAATCAAGAGAGATTTATTTCTTCATAAAATTTCGTAAAATTTTACGAAATTATAATTTATTTTTTAAATTCTCGATAGCAATACTGTATGACTTAATAGCAATATTGTTCTAAGATTAAACATTGATGACAATGATTGCAAAAACATTCTATTAATGAGTTTGAGCGTTCTACATAATTATTTTGATAAACAAAATTATTTTCAGATTTATATCTGGCTTTTTTAAATACTTCAACAAAATCATTTTTTCGTATATTTAGTTATTCATATATTTATAATTATTCGTATTTATATTTGGTCGCAAATACGCAATACTGCGACACATAAAAGTGGATGTTATTCGATATTTTTCTTTTTTTCTTTTTTTTTTTAACAAAGTAGATTTCAGGTACATATTTAAAATGGCATTTCATAATACTAAAGTGTTGTACTTATTATTCGATAAAAGGCACGTACCTTTATACATTTATACAGGGCGCACGCTACGTATAACGCTGGGTTCTCGGTATCGCTTTAAATCCACTTTTTCTTGGTTGGAAGCTTGTTTATCGGTCGACGCGGGAATTTCAGCCGACATTGGGCAAACTCCGGCGTACATATTTAACGAAGCCTATTGGCCCCATATAACTCCAGGTTAGCTTCCGCAGGAATTTACTTTGATTTCAGAAGAGCCCCGGGAATTTCGCGAATCTTGTCAAGCGCGCGCAAATGAGATCGGGTTTAATTTCGGGAATTTCTGGGTTATCCGCTTAAAGCTTGTTTCATCCGCACAAAACGTAATGTATCATTGTGATCGACAAGTTATATCGCTGAGAAGGATTATCCTTAGCTTACACATAGATTTTTAGCTATGTTCTCGTCTAAATTATATCCGCGAGGCTGGAGGTATGACGTAACGAAATACGATCGACAGCCAGCCCGGTGCGAGTTGTGTTTGCACGTTACGTTATATTATGTGGGAAGGTATCTAATGCGGATCAAATTTAGTTGATTTACACGAGACGGAAACGCATGCGTGGAAAGCGGCTCGGCTAAAGCGGGCAACATCGGATTAGTGCCGGGATTACATTGGTGCTTGAAACAGAAATCTAAAATGCATAATCCGTATATAAACGGTTTAATTCGCTTACGCCAGAGCACATCCGTTATTCATAATGCGGGAAGATGGACAGAAGCCGAGAGTATTCACATTTTCCTATCATAACTGTCTGTAATATTTCGGGATGCCTCAAGTAGACCAGGGAGTTATTCAACTTTTTATCTTGAGCGAAAAGATGAAAAGTGAAATTTTTTTTATGTGTGTGCATATCTACATACATAAAAATACCAGAGAGTTGCGGGATATCGCCGTATCGTGATCCATTGCTAATGTCATTAGCAATGGATTACGACACGGCGATAACTCATAAACCTTCTGGCATCTTTCGAAGTAAATACCCGTGGAAGCCTCAAAAGCACACACAGAAAAATACTATATGTAAATAATAATTACTTATTTCAAATATATATTTTAAATGTCAGTAAATCTATTATAAGTTTATCACAAGCATCAAATGTATTCAAATTTATTCAAATTTATTTTGAATTCTGATAAGTTTAATACTTCAATCAAGATTATTAAATTAAAATAAATTCAATTTGATTATTATATAAAGTCGCTTCTTCGATCAATTATATATTTTAACAAAATTTTCATTTTGATAACAATGAGTTCTTTTTTAATTTATAAATAATAAGTATATTTTAAATTTATCAAGGAAAAATTCTTTATTAAAAATAATCATTACTTAAAAGGAAGAAAATAAATTGAGTAATCATTTTTCTTTGCAGAAGAATGATATTTTTTTGTGCATACAAAAAAATGTTCATTTTTCCGTGTTAGAGAAAAAGTTGACGTGTTTGACCTCCTGACAGGTCTTTTGGCTTTGTAAAGTAAAACAGGATGCGATCGAGGAAAGTCCAGGACGACGATGTAACGCGCAGGAAATGCGCGCAACGATGGCGTGCGGTCGAAAGGCGCGGCGGTAGGTCCAACGAACTCGTAAATCATTCGCTTCTCCTTACTTGAAGCAGTGTAGATAAGAGCAGCCTCGGTGGATCCTCTTCGTGCGCACGAAGGCCGGGAACCACATGGCCGGGACTCATATGATTATCCTTGGCACGGATATATAAGAATCTAATATGCCGTGAGTGCACACGCCGCGCTCTCTCGCTCTCGAGCGCGTTTTTAAACGCGCCAACGCTCAACGAGGTATCGGCATGGTTATCGCAGGGAACATGGATGCGTCGAGTAGCTTCTGCTTCGTCGTTCTAAGATAAGCGCGCGAAGGAGTCTCGAGATTCTGCGAACGTCTCGCAAAGATGAATGCATCATATTTCGAAAGAAGAAAAAAAATGCGAATGAAATAAATCTTTCTTTCCCTCTTTCCTCTGTCATCATTTTGTTCATGAGTGCAGCAGTTCTCGTTGACGCTGACGTACGGAAGCTGGATTAAATTATTTCACGTCTTGCACGCCGCTAATACAGTCTGCCCGCTTGCATGCTAATTCCAGCAATTATCCTGGCAATTGTACTTTTCAGACGCGCGCTCGCGACACGCGGACCATTCGTGTTCTACATTTTGCCGCGTGTCTCCATCGTCGTTATAATGGCAAATTCCGGAGTTAATTCGTAGCTCACGAGAACGATATTTTTTTCTCTACGTCGATTTTTCATGTCGACGTCCAAGCTGACAACGCTAAAATGTATTTCCGTACAGAGTTTTTGCGCGTCGATTGAATTTCCGATGGGCAAGCGAAGTTAACGGGGTGAAGGCCGTATAGGATAGTTAGTAATAAACAATGAGATTCATGCAAAAAGGATGATTTTGCTGAAGTATCTAAAAATTTAGATATAAAATTTAACTAGATAAAAATTTTGCTCTCTTCAAAATTTAAAATTAAATTCATACTCTCTAAATCAATGGATAATATCAAATTATATTAGTCTCCTATTGAGTATGCCATTGAATAATTAGTAAAATTCAATTGAAAAAGAAAATTTTGAATATTATGTAATTATAAAATACCGATATTTACGTTAGTAGTTCCAATAACATATGCATTTGAATTTATATATACTAAAGTAAGGTTAGGGATTCTATGTTTCATTAATGTTGAATTTCATTGAATTTAGTAATTATCAGTACTTAGCTCTGATAATCAGAGATTATTCAGCTAGAGAGTAAATTATACCTAATTTGAGTTATTTTTAATCGTATTTGTATCGCCACTGTTCCTACTCAATATGTTGTTCAATTCAATTAAAATGAACTTTAAGAAAATGAATTAAATTTGATTCAAATTAAATTTATTATTTATTAAGTGTATATAATATGTTATGTAATATGGACAATGTTCACTTTGAAACTTAATTACAGAAATGAATTGTTTTCACAACACAAATGGAAATTAAAAACAACAAAATGTTATCTTAAAAGGATTATTATTATTCCTGATATCTAATAGTATATAGACTCGAAAATAGTTTTGTTGAATCATCAAATTAATTATGTAAGGAACTCATGATGATTCAAAAAATTTTGACATTCAGTAATCAATTTGAGTTACATAATCTTTTTGATAGTCTAATAAAATTTTTTTCAGATCTATATTTATCTAAATGTTTAGATATTCCAACAAAACTTTTCTTTTCATGTGGCGTGACATTAGGAAATTTAGAAAAAGGCGCGTTTCTGAGATAAGATTGAGAAAACTCTCCTTCGATCACGCGGAAACCCTGACCTCATCGAAGAAGTGAACAATCGGGTGATTCTTTATAAGTAAAGCTGCTTTCCTTTTAGAAAATACAGTTGACACAAATGTCGTTCTATTCTTCTTCAATGAATAACAAAAAGACTAGAACAACATTTGTGTTACCTGTTTCTTTTAAAAAGAAAAGCAGTTTAAAATGCTTGATCGTTCGAGTGTCGAAACGTTGTCGATTGTCGCGCGTTATCGCGAATTGTACACGTTGTTCTGCACTTGGGAACACGGGACTCCACAATTAAAATGGCAAATATAATCTAGGTCAGCTGTGGGAGTCCGCAATGCACATCGGTATGATGCGACCAGCAGCGATATCTCTCGTTCATATTTACGTTATTGGAACAATTACGTTACGCGCGTGTTACATAAAGACGGA